AACAAAAGCAAGGCCTGATCCAACATTGAAGTGTGAATTCTTGACTTTGCTGTCATTGCCAAATCTGCAGTGCAAACACACTCTTACCCCGGCCCTCAACACAGGTTACAGAAGGAATTTGTTTCATTTATATTTACAGAGGAATATCAGTATGCTACAATAAAATACCAGATCAAGAAAAAACAAAATAAAACTAATGCTCGATCCTGATCGCATACGAATATTCTACTGTCACAAGCACAAATAATATACTCTGTGCATTGATTATGACTACGAGCTAAACTAGCCAATCTCCATGGCTCGTCCCAACCGATCCATCGAATTCAAGTAACCCGATCCACCACCAAGATGCTACACTGGATTGCATCACTGGTCTTGTTGTTACACTATGACCATCTCCTATTAGTGAAACATCATTCTCATAAGCATATTGTTCTTCTGTCCATCCTTCTTTTTCTTTAATTTTTTTCCGAAAATATATGGGCATGTTTGGTGACAGAACTGGACATACTATTCAGTGAAGTTGAGTTAATCAACCTTGGCAAACATGTAATCTAACGGACGTACATGATTGGATTCTACATCTAATTAGAAGGGCTCCTGCGTGTACATGAACACATTATCGAACAAAGAAAACTGATCACTGTACTGCATTTGAGAAGTGAAAGGATCATATTGGAAGTCATCCTTGTAATTAAGTTGATAATCAAGGGGTTTCTCGAAGCCATTCCATGTTGGTACGCTTTGGACTTCCTTATCGCCCATGAACTCCGGTGATAACGCATGCTCAGAGCTACTCGAGTCAGTATGTAACTTGAGGACTGATTCAGACGCTTCAGAATGCAAGTAGTTATTCTTCACTAATTGCGGTTCAAGGGCCGGCTGAACTAGTGTTACCTTCCCATTATATACGAAACCATCCAATTTCGGTTTCTGCTCTTCACTATCTGAAAATTGCAATGTCTTCTGATCAACATTGTAATGCTTTTCAAGAGTCCCTTTCTTGTTGTATAGTCGGCACAACACCCAATCATCAAGCTGCCATAGCACAAGAAATAAGAATATTAATGCCTTGTGTCAGGTATGCAGTATTGGACAAAATTGAACAGAACAAATAACCATAAATCGAGCTGCTACGAGAGATAATTTCGGATTGCCAATCAAAAAGTTTCAATTTCTGCCCCTAAAAGTTCAAGAAATCAAAGAATGATTAGAGTTAGTACCCTCAGATTGTTTTTCTTCCCGGCAGATCTG